GATCTTCCCTGTGTACTCATCCAGCGCAGTTCACAGACACATCTAAACAAGACCCTATGATGCAGGGAAGTTGCATGGACACTGCCATGGAGAGGATCAGGAATAGCCAGGCCTTTCAGCCTCACAGTATCCTGCCCCTGTCCCTTCAACATTCCATGTAGCTGTAGCATCCATCTGTTCGTTCATCTGCTGAAATGAGAAAAGAATTCATGCACTGATTTAAAACAAACCAAAAAAGAAAAAAAAAAAAATCCCTCTTTCCTTTCTAGCTGAACAAAAATGTGCAGTTAATACTTGGCGCTTGAAAATGCAGTAGTGAATGTGGAACCAAGCCTGTCTGTATATCTGGTAGCTCTTTGCTTTGTTTCTCCTTACCAGTACTCTGCCTAACGTTTGCTTCTGTGATGGTTATATTGCCTAGCAAGCACACCCGTGGTTGTGAAATAGTATAGCAAAAAAGAAAAATCCCCAGTTATTGATGTACTAGATTTGTGTATGTCTTTTAAACAGTTCTAGTTTCACCTTACACGGAATAATCAGGAAAAGTGTAAAATTTCAAAAGCAAAATAAAAACATTTTATCAGTTAGTTGCTTGTGAATGATGTGTTAACCCCATCTCTATCACTACCAGGTCTGACTATTGTGATCACACTTATTTTTGGCTCTTTTTTCTTTAAAAATATGAAAACAGGTTTATTTTTATTCTTTGGAATTAGAACTCAAGGTGTGGTGGTGAAGGGGAAGGAATTTTAATGTCCTTTCCACCCATTACTTGCTGCCTTTCCACTTTGCACTGCGAACCATCCAGGTCATCTGGCTTGTAAGATTTAGTATGTACAACACTGCTTTCAAGCCCCACTCCTTTTATTAAAACTGAACTAAAACCAAGGTTAGTACTTGTGCCTGTCATATATCCTGGTTATATGTCCTGTTGCTAGTCTGCGGTACCATTTCCTCATGGGAGATTCCCCACCCCTTCTAAAGATACCCACATTTCCCAAGAGAGGAAAGAACCAGGATAAGGGAGTGTTTTTTTTTTTTTTTTTTAGCCCCAAATTAGAATCAATTGGTGCTTCCTTCCTAGTGTGAGGCTGCACAGCCAGGCCGACTTTCCTTGTCCTTAGGAGCTGCTCCACCTGTGGAAGCCGCACCCAGCAGGTCAGTGTAGCTTCCTTTCAGAAAAAAACAAGGGTGCCAAGAAGCAGCTAGGTGAAGCATTAGTCTACCAGGGACTTGGATTTTATTTTATTTTTTCGGACTTGGATTTTAGTAACACCCCCCCTCCACCGCATGAGTTATGGCTGCAAGCTCAGACTGACCACCCTGCTAGCTCAGGGCTGTCTCCTGGGCTCTGCTCAGCTGTGAAGTCCCTCCTGTTCTCTTGCATCTGGGTCCCAATATCACCCCCACCCCCACCCCTCGGGCCCCGTTGGAACACAGGGTAAATGGTTTAGAGCACAGAGGTGGGAGGTAATATTTGGAGGAAGAGGTTCAGGTAGAATAATAGTCTCAAGGAAGACTAGTGGAACTTGGCTTTAGACTTATGTGCAGCCCTTAGTGCTCAATAAAGCCCATCCTCGGCCCTGAAGACTGGAACTGGGTCAAGCTGTCTGAGAAACGTATTTAGCCGCCTGATAATGTGCTGCGCACAAACATGGAAACAGGGTGTCTTGAATCCAGAGAGGCAACCAATGACCTGGGATTGGAACTCAGTCTTAGCCTCTGTCCGGTTTTACGGAGCTGGCTGCCCTAGGCCAGAATCAGCGCGGGGCTCTGCCTCCTTCGGGGCGGGGTCAGAGATGTCCCCCACCTGCGCCACTGAGTACCCGGGGCTCTCGGGTGGGGTGGGGCCTGGCGCCGCGATTGGTGCGCAGGAGCCCCGGGGCGGTAAAGGGAAGCGACCCGGGGCGGTGCAAGGAAGGGGCGGGCTGGCGCAGCCGACTGGAGTCTCCGCGGCCGCCCGCCATGCACGCCAGCGGCCAGGGCTACCCGCTCTCCTCGCTCTACGTGGGCGACCTGCACCCGGACGTGACCGAGTCCATGCTCTACGAGACGTTCTCTCCTGTCGGCCCCATCCTGTCCATCCGGGTGTGTCGAGACGTGGCCACCCGGCGCTCGCTGGGCTATGCCTACATCAACTTTCAGCAGCCGGCAGACGGTGAGCCCAGCGAGCTCACGTGGAATGGGAGGGGCGCGAGCCAGAGGCGGCCTTCCCGAGTGGGTTGCCCGCGCGCTCACCATTTCATTTACGGTTAGGGACACTGAGACATAGAATTAGGGTGCTAGGAGGTGTTCCGTAGAAATTAAGGCCAGGGTGAAGCTACTAAGGATACTGGAATCAGGCCCGAGCAAACCCAACAACTGTGCGACTGCGGGGCCAGTTGCGAAACCATTCTGAAATAGTCATTGGCTTGACCAATCCCAGAAAAATGGGGGCCCTACTTACCTTTATGAGTTAATTGTGAGATGCAGAGCACCTGGAGGAGCTGGGCCTGAGGGGGCACACCTGTAACCCCAGTGCCTAAAAGTCTGAGGCAGGAGGATCCTGAGTTTGAGGCCATCCTGGACTGCCTCAGGAGAGCCTGTCTCAAAAAGGCACCTGGAGAGGAAAATGCCCAAGACAACACAGCTGGAGAGTGGGAAAGCCTTGTGCAGCTGCCTGACCTGAGGTCTACAGCTGGTGCTTCCACTGATCCGTCTCTGAAAAGCCACTTGCTTCCTGCAGGCTCCTCAGGGCTGGTAGGATCAGTTAGAACTTGCTAGCTGAGTAGGGTGTCTACACTTCTGTTGAGGCTAAGGATAAAGGTGAAGAGTCCTACTGGAGCACGCTGCCAAGCTGAGCATGGCCGGAACTATCCTTGCCACCACTTTATCTATAAAATAGGGCAAAGGGCTTGTTCCCCTGTAGGATAAAGAATGAACAGAGTTTATGAAATAGCACTTGGTACATGATAAAGAACAACCTAAAGAAAAATAGAGGCTGTACCATTCTGGTACAGCACTCCAGAGACAACCAAAAAGCACTTGCCCCAGCCAAGTCCAAAGTAATGCACTTTACACCAGGCCTAGGCCTGTGGGTGCAAGTTTCCCTGAGTTGGAGTTGTGCTGTAACTAAGGTAGCTTTCTGTTGTGCTCTGCTGTGCTCCCTGTGCTCCACTAGTGAGCACATCTGATGTTTTGGTCTCAGTTCATAGACGGGAGAATCAAGCTGCAGAGAGGAAGAGCTCTGCCTCTGCGTACTTGAATGGATGTGCTGGAGAACCCAGACTTCCTGAGACTTGCTCTATGGCACTCCCCTACCTTCCTTGAATCCTCTGAAACTAGCAGAGCCCCCAAAGAGGGGGCGGCTCTGTGCATATCCTTGGGAAGGGAAGAGGATGTAGCAGTGGCAGGAGAGAACCCTAGGCTACTGTTTCCAGACACTGCTGTTTACCAAACAAGTCTTCCGTGCCTTACTTTTTTTTTTTTTTGCGGAACTGGGGACCGTGCCTTACTTTTTAATCTGATCAGTATGACCTCTGCATTGGAGGCTGGAGGCGGATGGTATTGTGTCCCCTTTTCAGGTATGGAAAGCTAGGTAACAGAGGGCCGGGGAGATAGCTCTGTGGAATAAGTGTTTGCCTGGCAAGTGCAAGGTCCTGAGTTCAATCCCCAGTATCGCGAAAAAAAAAGAAACAATAATAATAGAAAGCTAGGTAAGATCATTTAAAGATAAAGAAATAGGCTTGGGGACTGGGGAGATAGCTCAGTGGCAAAAGTGCCTGCCTGGCATGCGCAATGTTCTGAGTTTGATCCCCAGTTCCAGGAACCAAAAAAAAAAGCTTGGAGAGGTGAGACTCAGTTCCCTGAAGCCAAACTTCTTAGAGAATCTCTGCCATTCCTCATATGAACCCACCCTTGACATTCTCTTTGACTCAGTGTGCTTTAGAGACCAGAACAGAATCTGTCTCCACCACTGGCCTTTCCACCTTTTCCCATCTGTAAGACGGGGTTAGGAACGCATGCTTATGCGGTTCTGGTGAGGCTGTAATGGAAGCTGGGTGGAGGATTACTGAGTATGTTCATTCCTCTGGAGTTTTTGGGTTCATGGCTCAGGTGAGCCCCAGACAATGGCTTTGATTGAGCACCATGGTGGTTCAGGGTCAGAACATCCTCTTTAACTTGCTCCTTTCCCTCCTTTGTTCTGTCCAGCGGAACGGGCACTGGACACAATGAACTTTGAGGTGATCAAAGGTCAACCCATCCGAATCATGTGGTCTCAGCGAGACCCAGGACTTCGAAAATCAGGTGTGGGCAATATCTTCATAAAGAACTTGGAGGATTCCATTGATAGCAAGGCTCTGTATGATACCTTCTCCACTTTTGGAAACATCCTTTCTTGCAAGGTAGGTCACTTTTAGGGGGATCAGTGTCAAATACCTGTGTGGCAGAGGAATGCCAGTCACTTCATTTTACAAGGTTTATAGTCTAAGGATGATGTCAGGTACATCAAGTGCTTGAATCTCAGCTGTTCTCTTAATCCATCTTCCTAGATGTATCAGAGGTTACCTGTGTCATAGTCCATTGGCTGTCTAATCACCCTCAACTTTGAGGGCTATCGATAAGCACCATTTATTTAGCTCCTGATTCTGTTGGTGGTTTGGGCTGAGTTCAGTTGGGCAGTTGTGGCTGTGGCTGGACTCCCTCATATGCCACCTGAGACTGGAAGAAGCCCCCCATGGGCACTTGCAGCAGAGAAGTGACCAGCTCTCAGCTGTGATCATCTGTCCCCCGGAGTAGGCTTGCCCAGGCTGTTCTCCTGGCATTGCCCCATAAGACAGAATAGAACCTCACAAGGCCCCCTGAAACTTGAACTCAGACCTAGGACATATCACTTCCCCTGCATCGTGCTGGCCACAGAAAAATCACAAGACCAGCACATTTGGAGTGAGAAAGTGGCTGAATTTAAATAAAGGGTGTAGCTACAGGGAGGCCATTAATTGAGGCCATCACAGCAGTTAGTGGACCACATCTTGTTTTGTTTTGGTGCTGGGGATTGAACTCAGGGCTTTGCATAAGCCAAGTAAATGCTTTACCATTGAGCTATAGCTCTATCCTTTTTACTAATTCTGTCATCATAGAGCTGGGGAGATAGCTCGACGGTCTAAGTGCCTGTCTGGCAAGTGCAAGGACTGGGTTAAATTCCTGGTACTACATGCCCCACCATGTGGGCCCCAAAACCAGGTGTGGTGCTGCATGCTTGTAATCCCAGTGTTGCGGGGGGGAAGAGGGGAGACAGGAGGATCACTACAAGTCCAAGTAGTATAGTGAGACCCTATAACAAATAAAATTTTAAAAAATTGTCACTGTAGTGGTCTTGTTAGTTACCATTGTATCTTAGTACCAAGAATATACATGATACATAAAAAAGGTCCTCATACGTATTGGCTGAATGATTGCATGTATTATCATTTGAGAAGGACTCTGATTAGTTCTCTGATTTTGTATACAGGATATTGGGGAGCATAGGCTGTGTAGCAGGTCAGTGTGTGCTGACCCAAGGGCTAAAACCTGGATGTTCTGCTTTTACATGCTATGAGAGTGGCTGTCCAGTTACCCCCCAGGCTCTGGGATGCCCTCTTTTGGGGAGACGGGATTAATGATATCTTCTGTGTTAGACTTTCATAGGTCTCTTTCCTTATGAATGGGAGGTTTATCTCCATAGCTCAGAGGAGCAGCCTGAGGTCTGAGGTCAAAATGTGCTTAGGGTTCTCAGAGAGAGAGGCACGGACAGACATAGGCAGTGACACAGACAGAGACAGAGATAGAGACAAGGACAGAGACTGACAGAAGCTTCCTGCCTATGAGGCAAATTCTTACAATGCCAGCAGCAGGTCTGTCAAGTACTTCCTATGTCCTAAGCTTTCTGCATACGTGGCCACATTGAATTTTCCACCAGAGCACCTTATGGTATATGTAAAGGTTACACTGCAGGGCAGAGAGGTTCAGAGTTGAGATCGCTTGACAGGATGGAGTTAGAGCCAAGATTTGAACTAGTGAGTTTGCCAGATTAGCTAAAGCAAATCTAATAGAGAACAGTATGTCTTCCTCCCTTGCCCAAGGCTGGAGGTGCTACGGACTTCTATGAATTTAACAGAAAACTCTGCGATGCAAGTAGTCCTTTCCATGCTGAATAAAGCACTGTTCTTAGAAACAAAACATAGGACCAGCGAAATAGCTCAGTGGTCTAAAGCACCTGCTTAGGCAAGTGTTCAGGGACCGCAGTTGAATCCCTGGCACCACATGCTGAGCTACCCCCCAAAAAACAAACAAACAAGAATACAGTGTGTTAGTACAGGCTGCCTAGAATGGTGAATCTTGTAGGAATAGCTGGAAATCAGTGTCTCATTGTGGTAGTCAGGTGACTGGTTGGTCAGGAAAGATTTCTGTGGCTCTGTGGAGAGAGTGCGTGATCTGAGGCAGCCCACTTGAATGCCAGGCTCAGCACTCAGCAGGGAGGCGACATAATGTAGTGGGTCACGTGTCCTGGACTCAAATCCCCTCTGTTCACTTCTTGACTGTGTGATCTTGGGCCAGTTGTATAACCTGACAGTGTCTCCATTTTGCCTAAAAGGGTCATTTTCACTGTTGTGATGGTGAACTGTAGTATGACATGTAGCCCATGAAAGGTTAAATATCTAAGGGATCACTACAATAATTTAGAAATTACTTGTGACTGCTAACTTTGGACAAGTTATTTATTCTCATTTTCTCCTTGAAGCTGAGAGATTAAGAGCTGCATGGGGGGAAAAGGAACCCTTCTCCTCCGCTGTTGGTGGGAGTGCAGACTGGTACAACCACTGTGGAAATCAGTGTGGAGATTTTTCAGAAAAGTCAAATTGGAGGTCCCATTCAATCCAGCTATTCCCCTCTTGGGAATTTTTCCAGGACAACTGAACACATCATACCACAGCAATATATATGCACCTACGTTTGTTTGTTTATTTTTTAGATTTATTCACTTATTTGGTATAGGGTCTCACTACACAGCTTGGACTTGTAGTGATCCTCCTGTCTCTGCCTCCCTAGTATTGGGATTATAGGTGTGCACCACCACATCTGGTTTTGGTGGTGCTGGCTCAGTGTGGGCCAGCATAGCATGCAGTACTGGGGATCAACCCAAGTCCCCAGGAAGGCACTTAGACCACTGAGCTATCTCCCCGGCTTTTGCATCTGTGATTATAGCAACTCAATTTGTCATAGCTAAATCTTGGAAACAACTTAAATGCCCATCAACTGAGGAATGGATACAAAAGATGTGGTGTTTTTATACAGTAAAGTATTATTCAGCCATAAAAAAATATAAACTCGAGGCTTTTATAGGTAAATGGATGCAACTAGAGACCACGTGTGTAAGTGAAATAAATCAGACCCACATGTGTAAACATCGTATTGTCTCTCTAGTGTAAGAACCCCAAAGTAAATATGGTCTGAAAGGTACAGTAGATACTGTGAAAGGGAAAGAATCTGTTCAAAGGGAAGAATTGCCTGGAATAATTCACCTGGCAAATGGAACCAGGTGGTTTGAGATTCCCTTTCCAGGTGCTTAGGGTACAGTGGGATCCTAGGCAACATGACTGAGTCTAGGTGATGAAACAGCGGGAGCTTGAATGGAAAGTGGCTAGGTGTAGTGGCACAGGGGTGTGTGCTGAGCACAGGCTTAGAAGCAGGATTTGTTGTGGGGGCCCATCAGAGCGCCTCAGGTGCCAAGTTGATAGACTTCTTTGTGTGGTAGAAACCACTGGAGATCAAAGGGACCTGGATAGAATCACACTTTAGAAAGAGAATCTCTGCGGTCAGTGTGGGGCTGGAAGGCTGGGTGCTTTGTCAGCAGAGAATGCCACTGAGCTGGGGCTGAGGCTTTGAGGACGAGTTGGCAGTGGTCACTGTGGAGAAAGATTCAGTGGTCTTAGTGTAAGCTCAGCAAGAGGGTTGAGAACTACCTGAATAGGTCTTTCCCTGTTCTTGAATTCTGTCCTTCCAACTTCATTTGGAAAGGTTGCAGAATAGAAGTAGGATGGTGTTTTTTTTTTTTTAAAGAAACAAGTTTGTTATTGAAATAGGTTGTGAATTGGTAAAATTTAAATAGTGTGGAGGACTGAGGAGATAGCTCAGTGACAGTAGTGCCTGCCTGGCAAGTGCAAGGTCCCAAGCACTGCAGAAAACCAAAAAACAAAACCAAACTGTAGAATGGCAGAGAGTGAAAAGGAATCCATCCTTTAAAGCTCTCATCCCCAGAAATAATGAAGTCTTGAGTGTCTGTTTCAAAGCTTCCCATATACAGATACCTTTAAGCCAAATGGCTAGATATTTTTTTCCTGCTTAATACCGTATCTTGCGGATAACTTTGTCAGCTGTGTAATCCGTCCCGTTCTCTCCCCAGATGTCCATGCGGCGACCTGGTGTGAATGAACTGTAATTTCTTTCACCCGTCTTCTCTTGATGGATGATGGGTGCTCAGGGTGTTTCCAGTTGGTTGGTAGAAACAGGATTGAAGTATGGAGGCCTGAAGTACCGCTCTGTCCATTGTCTGAGACAGTGGAAGCTGTTGTATGGTGTAGACAAAGCCTGTGTTCATTCGGAGGGAACTCTTCTTATGCATCTTCAAGCTACAACTTCTCATCTCTAGAACTGACTATTATATGAAGTGGGACTGTCTTGTCGTTTGTTTCTTTTTCCTTTTCTTGTCTCTCCCATCCCCTCCCCCTCCTCTTCCTCTTCCCCCTCTCCTTTGCTTCCCTTCCTTCCCCTCTTCCCATTATTTCCCCCTCCTCCACTCTAGGGATGGAGCACTGCAGCACTAGGGATGGAGGCCAGGGTCTTGGGCATGCCAGCTAAATGCTCTATTTCTGAGCTCCACTGCTGACCCTCAGTGGGCCTGTCTCTTACATGTACCATAGCAAGCAAGGTCCTGAAGTCTTTCTTACCATTGCTGTCATTTTTCTCCCTGATCTCACCCACCCATGTTGTCCGTGCTTCCTCCCTGCCCAGGTGGCGTGTGATGAGCATGGCTCCCGGGGCTTCGGCTTTGTGCATTTTGAGACCAATGAGGCAGCGCAGCAGGCCATCAGCACCATGAATGGGATGCTGCTCAATGACCGCAAAGTGTGAGTGGTGGGCTGAGGGAGGGGCCAGCCCGAAGGGGCAGAATCACGGTGTCACCAATTGAGAGCAGAGTTCCTTCTGCAGTCTTATGGGCGCTGGATACTGCACAGGAGTCTTTTCCCTTGAAATGGGACCTCAGAGGATTCGCTTGAATCCCAGTGTCTTCCCCACTTCACAGTTGGGAAAACTGAGATGCAGGTACTGGAGAGAACCTGCTCCTGGCCTGTCTTTTCTTCCAATCCTGGTGGTCCCTGTCCCTTTGTGAGGGCATAGCCTTGTGGTCAGTGCTGCGGAGTGGAGGTGGCTTTGGACTGGGAGTGGGGTTGCGGAGTCTTTTTGGCCTATTACTGAATCTGGGTGGACCTTTTTCAGTTCCCAGAAAGATATCATTTTTTGTTTTGATTTTTTTTTTTTTTTAATTTATGTATTTGGTACAGGGTCTTGCTACGCAGCTTGGACTCATAGTGATCCTCCTGTTTCAGCCTCTTCAGTGCTGGGATATAGGCGTGCACTCCGGTTTCACTGGCCAGCTCGGGGCTGGCATGGCATGCGGTACTGGGGATTGAACCTAGATCCTTGCACTTGCCAGGCAGGCATGTAAGACTGCTGAGCTATCTCCCTGGCCCTTGACTTTTTTTTTTTTTAAAGATCTCACTTTTTTAGCGACCGTCCAATGAGGGCTACCCCTGCCACTTGGTTTTCTTCAGTTTTGAGGGCCTGGAACAACTTGCTTGTATGAAATGTGCTGTAAATACCAATAGAATTTTCTATGGTTAGCCCACCCCCACCCCCTTGATTAAGCTTTTTCCTGCCAGGCATGGTGGCACTGTCTTAGTTTCAGCTACTTTGTAGACTGAGGCAGGAGGATCATTTGAGCCTCGGAGTTTTGAGATCAGCCAGAGCAACATGAGACCCCAGCTCTGTAAAAAAATAAATAAATAAAATAAAATAAAATAAAATAAATTTCCTAGATGTGTTTTAAAATTATTGTATTTATGATTTCAGTCCATCCCTATAGAGTGATACTGGTATTGACCATGGTGTCTGATTACTTACCCGTGTTTCTCCAGTATGTATTAAGTGAATAAGAAAAGTCCCATAGCATGAGTTTGATCCCAGTTTTATGGGAATGACTCTGAGGCTCAGAGAGGTTAAGTAACTTGTCCAGGTCACACAGGGAGGCAACTGCAGAGTAAGGATTGAAGCTTTTGTTTGAATGCCAAGTTTATGCTTGAACTCCTATGCTCTTAGTTGCCTGGTATGTGTAATAGTTCTGTGTACATCTGTCACAAGAACAAAATATCCTGAGCCTCACTGAAGGACAAGCTCTGGAACATAGTTTCTTGGCTGTTTGAGGTAGCTGGGTGCTGGGCATATTCAGTCTTTGGAGTATAGCCCTGCCCTGCTCCTGCTGAGGGAACATGGGCAGCGTTTGGCCCTTGAGCTGCCCAAGGGCTGTCTGGAGGAGGAGCTTGGGGTGAAGGGCGGCTGCAGGCTGGCAGCTGCCTACCCTGTTGTGTGTCCACAGTTTTGTTGGCCACTTCAAGTCCCAGCGGGAACGGGAGGCAGAGCTTGGGGCCCAGGCCCTGGAGTTCACCAACATCTATGTGAAGAATCTGTGCACCGACGTGGACGAGCAGGGCCTGCAGGACCTCTTCTTCGAGTTTGGTGAGCAAGTGCCCTGAGGGAGCAGGGGAGCCCCGTTTTTCCTCCTCCTCCCAGCCCAGGTCTGGCAGGGATGAGGGCCCTCCTTGGGGTTTCTGAGCGTTCATGGGAGGGAACTTCCTGGGGCCTCCCCAACTCTCGCCTGAGCCAGGTTGGTCCTTTCCAGGAAACATGCTGAGTGTGAAGGTGATGCGGGACAACGGTGGCCACTCCCGGGGCTTTGGTTTTGTTAACTTTGAGAAGCACGAGGAAGCCCAGAAGGTAAGCACCTCCCCTGGTCATGTTCTGGGGAAGAGGTGGCAAGCTGGGCCTAAGAAGAGGGGCAGTCAGGCGCAGGGGCCTGCAGCTGCTTGTGGAGAGGAAGGACATCCCCTCTCTCTAGGCTGAGAGGAGCAGGACAGTCCCACACATACTCAGGGCCCTTCCACCGAGAGGTTTTATTCTTTCTTGGTTACCTTTCAGCCTTTATTATTATTTTTTTTTTCTGTTTTTTTGTTTTGCTTATTTTTATTTTTTATTTTTTAAATATGGAGCGCTTCACGAATTTGCGTGTCATCCTTGCACAGCGGCCATGCTAATCTTCCGTGTATTGTTCCAATTCAATATATATGCTGCCGAAGCAAGCACATCAGTCTTTTTTTTTTATTTTATTAATTTTATTGAGAAGTAGTAATGAGGCAGTTTCAAAACAGCATAGTAGGACAGTTACAATAATTAATACATTGCATATTGTTGTCTTTGTAGTAGTTATTCATAGTGTCAGATGCAGACATGATATCCTGTCCCAACACTATTAGTACAAATCTTTCTTCTCATTGAATTAAGAGAAAGTAGCTGTATATCTAGCCTATTTTGTATATACAGATACAAAATGGTCCTTCATTTATATCCCCTTTTTCATTTAGTTTTGTCAGAGATGGGTATTCCATTGTCATTTAAATATTGTAGGTGTGTGAATTCAGCAAAATAATCCAATATAGTCCAGTAGTCATAGTGGGTTATTCATAGGATTGTGCAGACCTCAAAAGTCATCTCCGAAATTGCTGGCCTCCAGACCTTGTTTCCTGCTCTAGCTGTGCTTTCTACCACCCTCTTTGTTTGTTGTTGTTGTTTTCCATAATTTTACTGAGAAACAAGTAGCAATGAGATAGTTTCAAATCAAATTAATAGGACAGTTTCAATAATTAACACATTACATACTATCTTCCTAGTGGTTATTTGTTGTACAAGATGTAGACATGATATCCTATTTACAAACACTATTAGAACAAATCCCTCTATTCATTGAATTAAGAGAATGTAGCTGTATATCTCTCCTTACCATTTTGAATACACAGATACCTGACTTTTGCTGTTTTTTGTTTGTCTGTTTGTTTTTTGTAGCTAAGCCAGTGAGAAATCAACTTAGTGTAAATGGGTAACAGAGAGAAGTTGCATGTCTGTGGAAGATGCAAACTTTTGTGCAAACTGTGGATCTAACAGGGTTAGGCCAATTAACTGAAGAAAAGAAAAATCAATGAAGCTTAAGACACAGTTCTTGGGGCTGGTGAGATGGCTCAGTGGTCTAAAGCACCTACTTAGAACAAGCTTAGCAAAGCACAGGAACCGCGGTTCAATCCCACAGCACCACATGCCAGCCAGCCATGCTCCCTGGTGGGCTGAGCTGGCCACACACACACACACACACACACACACACACACACAAAAAAAAAAAAAGACACAGTTCTTTCAATAAAAGAAAGTCCTTATAGTTAGCAAAAAAGATTCTTTTATGCTGTGGACTACAACATGAAGTGAAGGATGTTGGTTTTTTTTGTTTTTTTTTTTTTGGGGGGGGGGGGGGTACTTGCACTTGGCAGTCAGGCACTCCTGCTGCTGCGCTATCTCCCTGGCCCTGTTATATCATTTTTGAAACAATGTTTTCTGCTTGGTTGATGTATCTATGTATAGTTGCAGTAAAGACCTCAATTTATTTTGTAACAGACTAATTTCTTAGAGCAGTTTTAGGTTCATGGTAAAATGGAGCAGAGGAGGGCCGGCTAAATAGCTCAACAGATTAAAGTGCCTGCAAGCAGGTACAGGGGCTGGGGGTTCAATCCCCCAACCTGCCAGGCTGAGATGGCAGGGCAATTGAGACTGGGTGTGGTGGGTGGTGACATGTACCTGTAATCCCAGCCCTTGGGAGGCTGTAAATAGGCAGATCACTACAAGTCCCATCTAGCAGTGAGACCCTGAACACCTTGTAGACCCTTCCCTAAAATACAAAAAAAAGTAAAAAAGAAAAAATAAAATGGAGCAGAGGGCACAGATACTTTATAAATTACCTTTTCCTACGTATGCACCACCTCTCCTATTACCAACTTTGCCCAGCAAGGTGATTCATTTCTTAAAACTGGTAAACCTACTTTGACATGTCCTTCTCACCCAGAGTCTGCTGTTTAAACTAGAGTTTATCATTGTCATTGCAGGTTGGTGAGTTTGGACAGGTGTATGAGGACCTGTATGTACTGTTTCAGTGTCATACAGAGTATGTACTGTTTTTAGGGCCTTAAAACTCTGTGTTCTGCCGATTCATCCTTCCCTCTCCCTTAGCTCCTCCCACAACTGATTATTTTACTGGCCTCATAGTTCTGACTTTTCTATGATGTCATGTAGATAGATTCAAATAATAGCTTTACAGATTGGCCTCTTTCACTGATTAATACGAGTTTTAAATATAGAGATGTTTCAGTGTATTTAAAATATTTAAATTATAAACATGAGAGACTGCAAATTTCAATTTTGTGAGTTTTTTTTTTTTAAATGTATTTGGTATAGGGTCTCACTGCGCAACTTGGATTTGTAGTGATCCTCCTGCTTTCAGCCTCCCCAGTGCTGAGATTATAGGCCTGCACCACCACGCCCCGGACTCAGTTGCTGGCTCATTATGCCCCGGGAGCAGGGCCGGCAAAGCATGTGGGACTGGGGATCGAATCCTGGACCCTACACTTGCCAAAAAAGGTGCTTAGTTCACTGAGATATTTTGCTGGCCCTCAATTTTGTGTTTTTAAAATAGAGCTGTAATCAAATTTTAAAATGTAGTTTGGCTAGGCATGGTGGCAGTGAATGCCTATAAGCCCAGCTACTAGGGACACTGAGGAAGGAAAATCTTGAGAGTGAACTCTGCCTCAGCAGTTTAGTGAGACTCAGTCTCAAAACAAAACAGGCAGGGTCTCACTGGTAGCCCAGGCTGACCTCAAACTCACTTCTATCTTTTTTTTTTTTTTCTTTTTTTGCTGATTAATAGGACAGTTTTGATAGTCAGTACACTGTACATTTTTATCTTCTTAGTGGTTATCCATAGCACAAGAAGCAGACA